TAAAAAATTACAACAGATCTGTCAATTGTTGTAATGAATCTTCGAAAAGCAATAAAAATTCACAANTGTTCTAATAAAAAATGAAGATCTATAACTAGATTTGAGGTGTTTTGTGTTTAAAACTTCGTAAACTTAATAAAAAATCAGAATATAAAGCACAACTTTCAAATGAAAAAACACAAAAGAAAATTTAAATTGACCCAAAACTCATAGGGCTCTTTTACTAAGGTTGATGGGATAGGATGGGATTGGATTATTAGTCCAATGAGTCAGCTTTATTATACATGTTTACCAAATTGGATGCAATGTTTTCTAATCCCATCCTGTGTTTATTACGTTTTTTTGAGAATGAAGTAAAAAATTGGAAGGTCAAATATACCCTCACCTCTTTCTACTTACCACATCCAAATTTTTGACCCCCATTACGAAATTATTCTAATCTGTGGAACCCTAGAACACCGAAGACGACGCAACACTCCTCTCACCAGGCCAGGAAGACGAAGACGGGAAGACGACAAAACTTGACAAACACGAAGGTTGTCGGGTCGGCTTGAAAAGGGTTTGGCACCGTCGGTTCAGAGGAGTAGGTACGAGAGGTGTCGCCATTGTCAAATTGGAGGTGCGTTTTCCCTTGTCTTCATTTCGAGGTACACATTATGATGTTCTCCTCAACGGGCTTGAATGTCTGCTTTTTGGGTATTGAAAGATAGTATAATTTTGCTGCGGTCCTAACGCAATTTATGCCCGACAATTGTTGTTTTCTGCTGTCGCCTTTGTCAAACGGAAAGCAAATAACTGTGTGAATTGGTCTGAATTTGACAAGTTGTGCCGTGTGGTTAGGTGTATTTTTTAGGTTAAATATGCGTGCTAGTTTTTCCTACAGGTGAATCGGATAAGCAAAGCATGATTTGTGTGTCAAATTGCCTTGAATTGTTGAGTTGCTGAATGGAGTGCTCTGTTATGTGTCTTGGTTGGTGTTCATGGGGTGAAGAAAATTTGTTTACGATTTAAAGAAGAAGATGAAGCTTGTTCTGGGTTGTTTTTTGTTATAATTCTGTTTAAGGCCTTGTTTTTTATCTGTTGGAGCCTACTATTATTTCATGCTCAAGAGTAGTAAGCTGTAGGGGAAGCTTGTTATTGGTTGCTGAAGATGAAGCTTCATAGTATGAAGCATGTTATTGGTTGCCTTATTTGTTTTTGATTGTTGAGGCTGCTGTTATTTTAATTTTATTTTTTTAATTTTTTTTTTTGTGCTGAAATTTATTGTACTTATGTTGACTTTAATGGTTAGTTTCAGTAAAGTTAAGTTCATTGAAATTTCTTCCTTTCTCCTGTCTTGTTGGTAATGGTCGTAAAACTTAGTTACTTTCACATAACAAACTAGTTGCTTGCTTGTTTGGTTGTTACTTTCACAATGTAGCAGGGGATGAGGTACCTGCTTGTTTTGTTGTTTGGCCATGACTTTACCAGGTTCCTACAGTTTATAAGTGAAACCATTTGCTAACCTTCGTAGATTACGACATGTCCGAATCATCGAACACTAGTGGGTTATGGGAATGTTGGTGTGGAAAAAGGGCCAAAATTGTGACATCATGGACGGTCGATAACCCGGGAAGGAGATATCAGACTTGCGCCATCGGAAAGGTATGGTATCATTTATTTATTTAATGTTTTAAAATTGATTAATACTTAACATTTGGATGACATACATTGTACAAGTAGTTCGGCTATTTACAACATTGTTTGAGTACATAACTCTAAAGTAGACATAGCATTTTGACATGTGAGTTTCTTCAACTTCAGATTTGTTATTTTAATTGCACACACCTTACTATACATGTAGGTACTATCTTTTTCTGATTATGGTGTGAGGTAAAAAAATTGTTATGATTACTAATGTTCTAAAATTTTTGTAGCCGTTGGGCTGCACATATTGGTCATGGCTGGACCCTCCTATGTGTGAACGGTCTCAAAGAATTATCCCGGGTTTATTAAAGAGGATCAATGCACTAGAGGCAAAACATGATAACTTGAAGGAACAAAATACGAATTTGCAGGAAAGGGTGGAACACTTACAAGCATTGAACAATACTCTGGTGGCAAGTAAGAAAAGTTGGGAGATGCGAATGGTCTTCACATTAATTATATCAACTTTGCTGCTAGTATTTTTCTGCTATATACTGTTGTGAATGGGTCTGTAGGTAAAGGCTTTGGATTCGAGGTGCTTCTGTAATGTGTAATGTTGTATTCATATATGTATGTGTCTATGCGTGTTGTACTCTACTATGTACTCTTCTATTTTAGTGTATCATTTATTTTAGTGTGTCATTTATTTTGGAGCTCTGTTATGTGACGCTAGGGTTGTTCGATTGAAATATGTTTTGTTTTTCGTGTTTGTGTCCCTTTTTCTTCTTAATAATAAATAGATTTGCCAATTGACGATAAAGAGTGTTGTACCATCGAAATACTCATATTTGTGTTCCTTCTTAGCAAAGGTTATTCAAACATGTAATCCAATTTAATGGACTCCATACTCACTTCTTGCTACTATAATAGACTTCACATTAAGATAAAGAGTGTTGTACCATCGAAATACTCATATTTGTGTTCCTTCTTAGCAAAGGTTATTCAAACATGTAATCCAATTTAATGGACTCCATACTCACATCTTCTTGCTACTATACTAGACTTCACATTAATATACTGCATACTCGCATCTTCTTGCTACTATACCATGAATGGTTCACCAATAGATAAATTCAAATTTAATACTCACATGTCTTGCTACTATACCATGATTGGGTGACAAACGTATGAGACAAAGTTACAAAACATAAGCATGCTAAAACCTTGCAGTACAAACTCCGGTTGATAAAACTTCACAATTATTAACACTTTGCAGTACAAATTTAAGTTCATAACTTGATAGCTTACACATTAGATTTGCGTACTTTAAACCTGTTTATTGGTAAAATTTAATCCTTATAACGTGAACTGGCCTTGTTAATTATTGTTGGACTGATTTTGTATTAAACCTCGTCTGGTGTTGCTTCCCGCATGTCCATGGATTAAAGCTATTATAAGTACAATTTTGTCTGTCTTAATATTAAATTTACCATATCACGCGACATGACCACTGAATGCAGGTCTACTCGTAGGCTATAGCTTTTCTGCAAAGTTTTCAAGTAGGACTAAAGGGCTACACGACTGCACACCCCACTACTGCACTGCAGTCGAAGCATGCCTACTACCAGGCTTCAGTGATGCGTCACAAGTAACTTTATTGGACAACACAGCTACATGAATACACACCCCACTACTGCACAAAACAGAAGATTGGACTAAACGGCAACAATGCTGCACGCCTCACTCGGTTGCGCAGTTGATTGGACTTAAGGACATAAGCTTTATTATTAGACAATGCTATTGAACTTCAACCATGAACTTCTCCTATTTAAATACCCCACTTCCCACGAAATCAATCCAGAACACAAAGAGAAAGAAAAAGATTATAGTTTTAAGAAAGAAAAATTAAATTTTCTAAATATTTACAGTTCAAACTTTGGCAATGGCTCCAAACTTTGGTGTAGTGCAGGCCGATTACCTGTACGACCTCCACTGGACCCCAAAGATGGATGAGTTTTTGATTGATTATTTGCTTGAGGAAAAGCTTGTTTGTCTGTTTGTACCTTTTACAAGCTACAAGGAACGGATTGGGGATACTACGAGGGCGTTCAATGCGTGGTTTACCACAACTTTCACGCCGGAGTACATAAGCTCACGTATTGATGTTTTGGCCAAAAGACACAATATTATTACAGCACTTAAAGAAAAGGATGGTGTTCAATATGATGCTTCCAACAACGTGTACCATGCTTCCGACAGTATGTGGCATCAATTGATGAACGTGAGTTTTCTTAATGATGTACGTTTCCCTTCATTACACATACGTTTCAGTTGCAAAGTAATCTAAATTTTCTTTTTCACCTAGTGGGATGAATTCTTCATCGCTTACATCAATAAAGGTGATCCCCAGCATGCCAAGATTGTGGAGTTGTTTCACGTGGAGGCACCATACAAACCTCCTTTCGAGTATCACATTCTATCTGACAGTGACAGTGAAGGTACGAAGGCAAAAAACGGTCGTGACAAAGGTGTGCAAATTATTGATGTGGACGCTTATGTTCCAAAGTCTACCCCAAGGAGTAGGTTAGTGCCGTACCCGGTTCGGACGGACATCCCCCGCAAAAAACAGCCACCGCGTCCGGCCTTTTACATGGGCAGCAGCTCTAAGGCCCCCAAAAAAAAGAATTCCATACATAGCCAAACTGGCTCAACTGATGGATCTGTCAATCAACCACTAAACTACAACTACTCTAAGAGTCCTCCCGATGAACCAGACGCAAATTCTATGTCGACTGCATGTTCTACCACCCCTACAGATTACTCGTTCGATTGGCCGTGGTAAATCCTCCGTCTATGGATCATTTTCTTTTAAGTTGGGACTTATGTGTTAGTCAATGTCGTCGTACTTTAAGTTTTATATTTTAGCCATATTTGAGGCTTCGTATTACGGTATGTTTGGATTGTGTGGTTGTTTGATGTTCACTTTTGTTATGGTTAGTCAGCAATGTTTGTTTGTACTGATTACTAATGTTTGTATCGTGCAATGCATCCTTGCGTTGTTTGTTGATGATTTACATCTATTATTTAGTTATATGTATTATGTGTTGTTTCATCCTTTGTCCATTTGTTGCAATGAATGTTGTTGTCAAAACAAAAACATAATATGTTAACAACTAACCAAAAGTGCACCCATAACCATAAACCATGACCATACCAACCAACATAATAAATTACGATAACCACATTATACTTCCGAACATTGTCATGAAAAAGCAAACAAATCCAAAACAAAGTTCGCAACATCATCCAAACGAGTTCATAACATCATCCCACCAAAAGTTCAACCCCAAGTGCACATACATATTACACTTCAACTACATTTTGACTTTGAACTTTATAACTTCATCTCCTGGGAGGAGAAAGAACGTGCAAACATCACCTACAACAATGTTGTTGTCATCGATGAACTGTCGAGCTCGACCATTTTGAAGGAGTTTCTTCCCGTGACCCTGGATTATTTCAACGTCATACCTGTAGTCACCAAATTGCAGTATTGCGGAGTTGTAGTTCGAATACTGGCCTTGTATGTGAGCCCTCCAAAACGTCATTGGGATTGCCTAAATATAATTGACATTAAACACTAAAATATAAAATATGAATTTTTACCATAGAAAGTTTAATATTACATATAACAACATACCAAACGTGCACGCTCCACATGAGTAGGCTTAATTTCAACCCTAAATGTGTGCTGTGGCAGCCTCTCACATCCGTTGGGCTCAAGCACGGTCACTTCATAGTCGAAGATGGTCCTCGGACGGAAAACGAAGAAGTACCCTATGGTTATGTCTTCTGTGAGAATGAAATCTCTCCACCCGTCCGTTAAAGTTGGGCAGTTATTGACCATTTTCAATGTCGTCTCGTATATACGTCCCTCAGTGGTTTGGATACTGCATGTTTGTGGTAGCACCACATTGCGGTAATGGGTGTGTGTGGCAGGGGGGAATGCCTACAAAAAATGAATAAAACATGTGTAATCATATTCATGGACAATAACATTTTAACACCAACATAATTATATTGAGGCTATTTTATTTAACTAACATGATCGTCTTGGTTGAAGTAAATAAATAATAACACAAAATAATACCTCAAAACGTACCATGGTATGCAGTAGTCACAGTCATGGACAATAACATTTTAAAACAGGCATATTAATTATAATGTGGCTTTTTATCTACCTAATATAATCGTCTTGGTTGAAGTAGATAAATAATAAGACAGAAAAATACCAACGTACCATGGTATAGAGCGTACGAAAGTGAACCGCCTTGAAAAAATGAGGACCCTGACCATCAACATCCATGTTGTCCATCCTTTATCTGTCGTCAAAATAAGATAAAAAAAGCACAAAAAAAAAAAGAAACAGAAATTTGCATAAACAACCATAACACCTTTCATTTGCAATAATACATGTAATAGCATAATTACTCAAACACATAATTATGGAACAATACTAACACACAAAAGTCCTACTGGCATGATGATTTCAAAAGAGTGCAGTCATCAAAAGCGAAATCAAAACATGCACCTACATTACAAGTCTTAACAAACCAAATGAAAAGCAAAGCATCAACACATCACACCACATTACAAGTCTTAAGAGGTTTTAATTGTTCCAAAACACACAAAATAGTGGTCACATTAGAATTCCCCTACAACCGTCCTTCTTGCATCATCTTCACCATCACAGCTTTATTCTCCGGACTTAGGCTGAAAAACATCGAGAGCTCCTGTGGGTTCTTACACAGACGCATGGTGACAACCATTTTAGCCTCAGTTGAAAGGAAATGCATGCTAGACAATGAATCAAACACCTCACTCCTTTTCTTCTCAGCATCATGCTCAAACCCAAGCCTTGATGCGATGCCATTCAAGCTGTCCTTTGTACCCTGAGAAAATGTTTGCATTATATCTAGAAAACGCTCCTCCCACTGCCTCTCTTCTTTCCTTTTACTCCCTTTCTTTCTCTTTCCTGCCCTCGTACCGGACTCAGACGCCATAGCAGAGGTGTTTTCCATGCCAACGCATGGGCTTCCATCAGAGGGGTTATGACCTGATGCATTAGCCTCATTATCCGAGTCCGGGGTGTACTGCATAGGTTGTACTGGGCATTCGTTAGCGGCATCATCAAAGGCTTGTGCATTTTCGCCCGTTGCTCTGTCTTTCCCAAAGATTTCTGCCCAATCATTGATGTAAGGGAAAGACTTGTTCCTAAGTGATTTCGCATTTGGATCTACCTACATTATCGAAATACATCGAATGGAAATTAATGTTTATGACATGGCTATTTTTTTTTTTTAAGCACAATTGTTGAGGTGAAGTTTCGTTGGATAATTACCTTTATCCAGTTACTCCAAACCTGATCGTCGCAGGAAAATGTTTTTGTCAACTCGCTCCACCCGAAGCCTGAGGTAGTTTTGATGAGTGCCACGCTCACATAGTTCTTGCGCCACACATGTATTTTTGAGCTTATGTGGGGGTCTGCACGAAGGGTACAATCAGGATACTTCTTGTGCAGTCTTCTCTCTATCTCGAAATTGTAGCCCTGCCTAAACCCATTATCTACCCTCCAGCCCTCGTTAACCATGTCTTTCAAAATGTCCACTAGGGCAGACTCTTCTGCCGGACTCCACGTACGTCGTCTGCTTGTTTGTGAAGAGGCAGGTCTCCCACTTTGCTGGGTACATTCCATGATGGTACCTGCTCTTTAAATTGTTTTGCACAGCATGATTGGTTTGGGACTCGTTACATCAAGATATTGCTTAATAAAGAACGAAAGAACGACATCATTTATATATGGCTGCCAGTTTTGAAGTAAAATGGAAAAATGCTTTAATAAATCCACATGACTAATTCAAAACCAAACACGCAGAACATGGAAAACTATCCTCATAGGAGAAAACCAAACACGCAGAACATCGAAAAATATCCTCAATGGAAAGTTACAAACACGCACAACAAGGAAAACTGTCCTCAATGGAAAAAACGTGACACTACAAATGGTGCAAACAAAGTAAACAAGTCGTAGGTCATCCTATTCAGTCAATTGTTCTTAAACTAAAAAACATTATGATCCCAATCGTCAAACATATCTTGTGCCAATCGGTCACGGAATTGTGTCCATTCAGGGCTGCCCTCCACCTGGTCTATCAAGTCATCATCACCCGTAGTTGTGGACAATCCATCAACCGGTATCTCAGGAACTAGTGCTTCCATGGGATCATTGGCCATTGTTGTACGTATGAAATTGTGAAGGAGCGCGCATGCCATGATAATGCGATTTTGTGTTCGAATGGAATAATATGAGCAACTCCTAAGAATTGCCCATCGCATCTTCAAAATGCCAAAGGCACGTTCAATCACATTTCTAGCCTTAGCATGGCGAAGGTTGTACAATTCTCTAAAGTTTTGAGGCCTACGGTTGCCTGCACCCCATTCCTGCAAGTGATATCTGACACCCCTATATGGCGCTAAAAAACCGGGACCGTTCGTATACCCACCATCTACCAAATAATAATTTCCTGGTATACAAATTAAAAGAGCTAGTGGTTATGTTTAATTCCAAATTCATAAAGTGGATGGTGTTTATGGATTCCAAATGATTATATTACCATTTGGAACACGTAGACCATGCGTCCTTGTAACTGCATCAAGCAAGACTCGACTATCTGCAGCTGACCCCTCCCATCCACATAGCATGTACACGAAGTTCATGTTTCTATCACAAACTCCAAGTACATTGACAGATATACTACCCTTACGGTTTCTATATCGTGCCTTGTCAATCGAGGGGACTCGCACGTCAATGTAGGTACCATCTAGAGCTCCTAGACATCCCTAAAGATGAAGAAATACCATAAACTTATTAGTTTTCAATGATTCCACTAAGGATTTCGTAACACGTTGAGAAATGGGTGGTAGGTTACCTTGAACCATTTCCATCTTTCATCGACACAATCAACCTCAACTGCATTTGGTTGCACAGCTACGGTTTTGTGAAGTCGGATGACCGCGTCGAGAACACGGTTAAAGTATTTGCTTATGGTTCGACCGGATCTAACAAAATCAAGCTTTAAGGTGACATTCTTCTTATGATGAGCTAGGACTGACAGAAAAATAGCAACTTGTTCGCTTGGTGGAACATTTCTAGATTGGGTAAGTCCCCCCGAACTTTCCAGGAGGTGACACAAACGGCCAAAGGAGTTACGATCCATACGGAGGTTCTCGAGACAAGTTGTGTCGCTCACGTCAATCAACCTTCGCATGTAATTGAGCTGATGGGGGAGTCTATCACTAACTCGGAATAACGGGACGTGGTTATCGCCCGAACGTCGACGTTTTCGCCGAGGGAGGATGAATTTCATATAGTAATAAATAGCAAGTAGCAAAAAAAGTTGAACACTACTCATTACTTCTTCCAATATAGTAAAAACCGCTAATTCTTCTCCAATTGAATCCATCTACAAATGTGGATGAAACAATAGCACGTGCATACAACGCACGCATTGGTGGAAATAAAAAATACCGTCAGGTGTTCTTCGTGGAAGCAACATTGAAGGGGAAATAAATAAAAGATCTTATCAATTAGTTGGAGAATTACCTGAGAAATTAGAACAGTACAGGGAACTGAATGCTGGACTTGTACGAATCGTCCACCTGACAAAATATTTTTGTAAAACTCTATTACTGGGTACAAATGACGAGGACACCTTCAATTGAGACCAGCATAAACATTGAAAAGAGACCAAATAGCAGAAGACAGTACATTGTAAACATGGGAGATATTTTCTAGTCATTACCAACCCTTGGATTAAAGGAAAATAAACACATCAAACAAAAACATATTAGCAACATGTATAAAGAACAAAAATGACTTCACTTCACTGTCGAATAACCCCTGCAAATTGATGAAGGAGTAGCAAATGATTAACTACATATTTATTCAGATTACAAAGTGTGCAGATCACATATTGAGCCTCTTTTTTTTTTATTTTATTATAGCCACGGTAGGGATCACCAAGTCACAAAACACATAATTTATCTGCAAAAAACAATGTAAAAAAGCTCGAACAATGCTTCTAGACTACCGCAGCAACCAAACCTAATACTCCATCATGTACCAGAGTTAGGAGAAGAGCTCCTCGTGGGCATTAGAATGAACTCATTCACATACATACGGCAGCAAAGATTCCATTATTACAGAAACTTTACAAGTTTGTTCTCAAATCCATCCGACAACGAAAAGCAATAAGGACACCACACAATAATAAAATGGACTATGAGCAGCTTATACATAAAACATGCACACAACATGATTGCATTAAATGAAATTAAATGAACAAGGAACATGATTGCATTAAATGAAATTAAACCTGCAGGGGGCCTCAAAATGAATTTATAATAAAAGGAATTTGCCCAAACTCATCAAATAATCCTACTGAAATACCAGGCGCCACTTTTGGTGAAGATAATAATACACACAACAGGAAGAAAGAGATAAGACCAGTAACAGCATTAAGCAAACTATGAAAGGTAGACAAATTCGGAGCAGTTTAACACTAATCCAAGCCGATAATCAAGGCATTAACCAAAGATAAACGAAGCCTTTGTTTAACATATTAATTCGTAATATACACTTCGCCCATAATTAAGGCATTAAGCAAAACAAAGCAACCGCAAATAGAAAAGCAATGAACCAATAACCCTAAACACCCAGGTAACCCAATGAAGCTGTATATCAAGAAATTTCATTCACCAAACAAAAAGAAGCCAATTTTCTCCAAACCACAAAACAATTCCAGAGCACATCAACACAAAAGCAACCGCAAAATTTTCTCCAACCCACAAACGAACATAAAATGTCTAAATATTCTACTCGACTTACAATCCGNAAAAAAAAAAAAAAAAGAAAAAAAACTGACTTTGGAAAACCAAACTTGCAGATTCACTACATTGACGGCCTGTGACACTAGGTAGGTTAGAAATTTGTCGAAAATAGTCCAATGTGACAGACGAGTGAGACAAGGTAGGTTGCAAAATTATTTTCAAAATGAAATCCTTGTAACAATTAACGAACAAGAACATAGTGCAATTATGGGAAAAACTAATGCAAGCTGAAATGGAGATCTGACGGGAAAAGAAAAAACCTAAACCCTAAGCCCAAAAAGTTTTGGAAGACCCAAATTTGCAGAGCCATTACCTACTGTGTTGAATCGTTCTTCGGTAGATCTCCGAGATCCCTCGAACAACCCAAGAACTTGATACCTGCGACTGTAGCTAGGTTAGAACGCAGTCGGAGAAAAAAAAAAGGAAGAAGAAGAAGGTACAAGTTTACGGGCGGAGGTAGCTAGGGCAAGCCGAAGACGAAGAAGATCTGTGAAATTGTCTGCGGGCCTTTCTGATCTTTATATTTCCTAGAGTTGTAATTTTGGTGACATTGAGGGGTAGAGAAGTCAACTTAAGCCCACTTTTGGGGACAAAATCGGAACAAAAAACGCGGATAAAAATATCCGCCCGAATTGGCCGGACAAAACTATCAAAACACGTCAGTTTAATGAATCCGGACCCACCTGCCACTCATTTCACACATCAGCTATATCCTTTTCTCTAACAGACCTAGTAAATGAATGATAAGGTTGGTTAACCAACCTTATCCAATCCTGTCAACCCTAGTAAACGAGCCCATAATGCATAATTTCTGAAACGTGAGGGATATGGAGATAAGAGAGAAGAGATAAGATAAATGTAAGGATGCAGTGAACAAAATGAGAAGCCCTAAAAAATCGAACATGGATTACCTTTTATAGTTGATAGCCTTAATTCCGGTCCATTAGATTTATGTTGACAAATTTAAGTCGTTAGATCAATAATATAAATGAATTCGATAGATTTAATTTCATTTGAACTGGACCTGATATTTGGGCTCTATATCTTACTCATAATATTCTTATATTGGGCTATATATTGGATTCAATAGTTATAATAAAATGGCTTGCTTCGTTCCTCCTCTAAGCCAGTGTGGGCTTGCTTCGCATAGGCTACACAAGCCTTTCGGTGCGGTTCAGTGAACACCAAGCCAATCTCAGAAATATTTAGAAAGACGAAAGGACACCTGTTTTATAGTGTAAATTATATCAAATGTTAACCCCACTTATTTAATTTATAATTATTATTATTTTTGTTTACTCACTCATTAATTTATAATTATTATTTAATTAATATAGTTCACTCGTGCATCGCACATGGTACATACTAGTTGGTTAATATTGACTTATCCGATATATACCAAATCGCATCCAAAGTAATGAAACGTTAGCCAAATATTTTAAATAAAATTTGAGGGGGAAAATAAAAATTTTGAGGGAAAAAATGAAAATTAATTTTCAATTTTTTTTCATGATTTTTTTCTTAACTCTATTATATAGTAATAGATTATATATATAGATTAGTATTAAGTTTTTGTTTTTATTCAATCTCTAAATGGATTTTTTAGATATGCCCATATCTGTTTTCCACATAACGTCCAATTTAATTAAAATATGAAATTGAATACACTTTTTTAGGATTAGATACTAATCAGCAAAATTCAGCTCCATCCAAAAATTTTGAAATAGTTCAGCGGCACAAAAATTGGCTTGAGTGGGATTTAAAAAAAAAAATTCAAAAAACCATTCCATTAATGAGCTCTGCAGC